ATTTTGATAAACTTTTTATAACTATGCTGTGTATAACTCTATATAATCTATATCTTGTATATTTTTAGTTAAGATTATTGTGATCATTTTTTTCATGTTATGTTTTCCCCTGGCAAGGACTTTAGATCTAAATAATTTAAAGTTTATTTCAGGTTCTTCAAAAATATACCTTATTTTCTATTTCTTCACATCCTACCTATGTGGAGTCCAAAAACTTAAACTGTGGATGTGGACCACTCGTTTCTATTTTAATCCAGATGTTAAAATATTAGTAAGTAGTATGCACTAATTTCATGTTCATTCTTGAACACTAGCATTGTTCTTTTACAAATAAATTACGTTTGTGTAAATCTTATTCTTCTTTGGAAGTGTAGAGTGGAGGGACATAAAATTGATACGAAAATGTTGCAAATCAAAGTGTTCCACTTCTATGTTAAGACTATTGTTTATTTTCTCTGCCTTGTTTTCAAGATTATGTCACCAGGATTGTTTAGGTCAGACCGAGCATTGTATGTATCGGAATACCTTAAAAAGCACTCCTAAACTGTTTAAGGCAGTTTTTAAAAAATGTCAATAAAGCTGTGATGGGTTTAAGATTGAATTATCTCCCATCTTTACTATAGGGTAGAAGATGTTCTTTAAGGTGGTAAGTAAAGTTAATTATAATGTCGCATGATTTTATAGCTGAGAGAAGCCTTAGAGATCATTTTGCCTACAAATTCTAAAATGAAGGAGGTTAGACTGGGATAGAGAGGTGAAGTGATTTACCCAAGGTCAATCACCTAGGTAATGGTTCTAGCTGTTAAGCCTCTGATTGAACATACTACGTTATGCTTTTTTTTTTTTTTTTGAAGTCATGGTATAACATCAGTAACAGAAATAAGCATCTCTCTTCCTCCAGAAGGCTGCCAAAAGAATGGAAAGAAGTGTGTTCATTTTTTATTTAGGTACCTGTTTATGTAAAGGTGGTGGATGAGTATTTATACGACCAGAACAATACTACACTGTATGAAAACAGTGTAAAAGAAGTAAAAGACATGGTCCTTTCCTGTTGGTAACTTTTTCACACTGTAATTTTAGGCTCCCAGAGTGGGAATACTGGTTTATAAAAAATGATTACATGACTATATTAAGTGGATTTTGGAGAGTTTTCATGATACATTCTGAAACTGTTAAGTTGATTGTGTAACATGGATAAACAGGGACAGTGAGGCAGTTTCAGTAATTAAAGCCCATAGAGGCTTAAATAAAATAGTGCAGTCTTGCTTTTCCGTTAATCTCAGGATCCGTATTTTTATGATGTTAGTGAAATCTTATAAAGAGATATGTTTTAGTGCTTCAGTGACTAAATTTTTTTAAATAGAACTAAGACTCATTTTCTTTTCCAGAAAGTAGTACTCTATTTGTACAATATTTATACAAAAATGTTTCTTCAGTACCTACTATGCCAGACATTGTGTTAGTTGCTGGGGATACAGCAGCTAACGAAACAAAGACCTAGTCTTCGTGGAGCTTACCTCAAGTCTGATATTTCAATGTGTTTGAAAAAAATGTATTGTAAAAAATTTGTAATAAGAATGTTTTAGGACTTTCTTGGATGTAAAATGTAAAATATTTTTAGAGTGCTTGATACGTGTTTCAGGAAGTGTTCAGTGTTGACCTATGTGACAAGAGAAATACAATATCCGTTTAAAAAACCTTTTTCATATATGGCTAATTTGACGGCACTTTCGTGCTTTATTGCTGCAGAAGTCTACCTGGAATACTTATGAATTAGAAAATAAATACTGCTAGGTTATACGTTCAAAATGTATGAGAGTTCAGGCCCTAGAGTCAGACCTGGTTTGACTTCCCACTTTCATTGCTTTGAGTTGTATGACCTTGGACTAGTGTTTACCTTCTGAGTTGAATCATCTGTAAACTTGGTATATTAAAATATAATGAAAGTATCTACTTCATGGACTTGTGAGAGTTAAATAACGTAGTTTCTACAAAGTTATTGATACATGAGTGCCCAATAAATGCTAGCTATTCCCTTAGTAGATATTCTGTGTACTATATAGTATTAATATGTTTTGTATATATGATTACGTTAACATGATGCCACAGATATTCAGCAGAATAACCCTTATGTAACTGGGAAACAGTTCAATCAGTGATACAACTTAGTTAGCTAAAACCTGTTGGAAACATTGAAGGTAGTCATCACCTGCATTGCTGTGGCTAGGTTGTTCATGTATTTGAGCAGAGCACCCAGCCTTCCTCATTAGTCTGCAATGCGTAGCCAAGAATTTACAAAGACCTTGTCAAGAACTGTGAAGGGACTGAAAATTTTGCCTGCTGCAGTTTTGTAGATGTTGGTAGAAGATGTGAGATTTCCTGAGTTAGACAATGGACATAATTTTTCATGGCACTGCAAGTGGAATGGGATTTATATTTGTGTTGGTTTTCCTTGCCCTCCTCAAGTTCCATGGAGGTGACAGAGGTGTTCAGGTAGATACTACTCACATAATGAGTTTGCATCATAACTAGAAACCCTGAACTTAGAGAACCCGAATCTTTCATAGTGGGCTGCACAGAAACCTACGTGACCTTTAGTCCAGAAGAAGACCTTATCTTTATTATATTGGCCACTGAACAAACCTGCCCCTCTCCTCAGAAGGGAGGTGTTGTCTTCTAAGACAGTTCACTGTTTAATACATCCTTGAAAAGATAGTCTAGGTAAAAACTCCCAGGACTTCTCCTTGCAAGATGTGCAGAAATGCTTAGAGGCCTATGCAGAATTGTCTCCTAAACATGCCTCTGAGTAACTAGCCTAAATGGGGTCACTGAGTTCATAAATTAATGTTCATGTACATTGTCTGTTTATTCTTAAGCTACATTTTCGAAGCATTTTCTGAAATGTTCTGTGTGATATACTCCTGCTTATCCTGTATTAAAATTTTGTACTCTTAACAGAAAACAAATGCTAAAGTTGATACGCATACTGAGGCGTTCAGGAGTGACTGTACTCATGTCTTCAGCTTGCTTTGATGTGCATCAGAAATTAAGTGGATGTCTGGACAGGGCAGATAGATATGCTGCAAAGTAAATACAGCAAAATGTTGATTGTAGAGTATGAGTGATGATGTGTGAGTGTTTATATAGTTATCTCAATTTCTGTGTCAAATTTTTCATAATAAAATGTTGGGGGAAAAGCTAACTGTTCCCCTCTTCCACAATTGATTCTCTTTGCAGCTGAACTGAACTCAGGATTTCAAGATAACTTTGTTATCAGTAGTTCACATCAAAATATGGATGAATGATAACAGTTTTTAAGAGTGGTTCTTTTTGTTGTTGGTTTTTTTTTTTGGTAGCTCTTCTTAGTGGGATTCCTTTTAAGACTGGGCGGTTTGGAGAATAAAGGTCCTGCTATTTAAAAGGAAGCCTTTGTACTGAATGGTTGAATTTTACATATATGGACTGACTAAAAAGGGTATTTCATGCTGGAAAAAAGGTTTTTAGGCAAACGAGGCAGGCCAGTCCCACTTGACTGACTTCCGGGTGAGCTGCCTTAAAATTTTCTAGTATTTTTGACATCTCATGTTGTAAGTTTTTTTAAAACTTATGTTCAGACTTTTTTACTCAGAGGCCACATTTGTGTTTTTGTTACATTTCTGTTTGATTGTAGGAATTTGGGACTAGGAGCAGGATTTTGGCTTAATGGCAGTGACAGCTATAGAGGAGTTGGGACAGAATACTTAGTGGCAGGAAATGGTCAGGCTTCCAAAGAACAACAGCCACATAATTGAAAGGTAGAAGTATTTTAATTGTAGATTTTCAATATAAGAGTGCAAATAAATGTAACTTGTATGCAGTTTTCTTTTTTTATATGGGATAGTTCATTATAAACAGTGACATATCTCTAACATTAGTTTTTATCATTACTTTTGATTAAAATGGACTAGTTAAAAATTGTTTCCTAAATGTTAAACTAAGCATTTATATTGGGCAAATGATAGGATTTCCCCATTTATAGGGATTAAGTTTCAGAAATCCTCGAAACGTATTTGTTTACTCCATAAATTGCATCAGATGTTCACTTTGTCATCAAAACTGCTTTTCACTGTTTTTTTCAAATTTTCAAGGTTATGTCAAGGATCAGTTTTTTTAAAAAAAATTTTTTGTTTTTCATAAAGAAAAGATATATGCAGTTCAAGGAATTGTTAAAAATTAAATACTCATATAATCACCTCCAGGGTGAGAAATAGAACTTGGCTAGCATTCGGCAAAGCTCTCCTTTTACCCTCTCCCAGTTACTTCCACTGCAGGATTAACCATTATCCTGACTTTTATGGTAGTCACTTGTTTCTCTTGATGGTTTAATCACCTGAGTCTTACAAAGGATACATGTTCAATTAGTAAAGCAGGAGATTATTGGTTTAATTCAGGGGTTCTTAACTCTAACTTGATACCTCATTTTTATATTTTATAATGTTCCTATTACTATCCTGAAAAGAAATTCATATATAAAATGACCAATAACATATGTAATTAAAAATTTTAAAATATATATACCCTAGCTATAACATAAGGAAAAAAAAGGAAGTAATTTTATAATGGAATGCTCGTTTTAAGTGTATTTGGGCGTGACTACCCTAGAAGACATAATGAAGTAGTCAGATACTTGTACCCTACTAGTTTGTAGGTACAGTAGTCAGATGTTTGTATCTACTTAAGATGAGTACGTTTGGATTTAAGAGAAATAAGACAAGAGTTATCTGAATAGTACTGACAGTTTTTCTTAACATTGATAAAAGGGCAAAATAAGAATATGCATGTAGGTAGATTCATGTGAATGTGTCACCTACAAATGCCTGCTGACTAATTCAGATGCGTTGTATTGGTGATTCAGGTATCATGAGTGGCATTGCTATTGGTAGAATAATCTTCTGTAACGGTGAACTCACCTTTTAACATTTTGAAGAAAAGAGTACACATTTTTCCTGTTCACATAATAGATGAATACTTGGAAAAGAGGTTTTCCACCAATATGAATTTCTGGAGGAGTATTTGAAAATGTGATGCAGTGGGAACATAGGACTTCATTGTGTGGGTCTGCATTGCAGAATGTCTGCTGTCCTGTTTCCTGCCCCCACCTCCCACCCCAGTAAGTACCACCCAATCATAATGCCTAATGAAAACACCTTGTAAGGGGCAGTATCACCTAAAGGGTTATGTTTGTAGCACTTTCAGTAAGGTATATAACTCCTCTTTTCTGAAGATCTTAAGGTAGATTTCTTTGTCAGGCCTTTTAAATCAGCAGCTCCTGGGGGTACATGATACAACCCCTCTATCCCTGAACCCAGCTCTCCAACTTGTTTTACCTTCCATAAAAGTCAGTGTAAAATTTTTGTGAATATTTACTAAATCTATGTATGTTTTTCTGAGGTGTAGGATACGGCTTTCATCAGATTCTTAAAGGATTCTGTAACTCACAAAAGTGGACCACATATTTCTTCCCATGACCTTTTTTAGCTGTTAAATCTGGTTATTCCTTTGCTAATGGTCATCAGTACTTGATAATTTTCCATTTTAAACTAGGAAAGGGGCTCAAACTCTTAACTATCTGCTGGGAGCAACCCTCATTGAGAGGCTAGGTTAGACAGATACAATGGAGCAGAAAATCTCAAATTCGTTTGTTGGGTGGGTTTATTATAGGTAATTCTACATTTTACTTGCAAGGTTAACATGCCTTGTTAAGAATTTTGTTTTGAATTGGTGGGGTGTATTTCTTTTGATATATTATCATCATCTTTAGATAATTTATACTTTTATGTCTAGAAATCCCACAATCTGTATTGACAATTTATAATCCCTGGTGGGCAATGTCATGAAATGTAAATACTATTTCAGAATTTGTACAACTCTTGTAGAGTTTGTTGATCAAAACTGACCCACAGTCATTTTAAAAATCAGTTAAAAAATTATTTTACCTTAGTTTGGATAATTGGCACTTTTTAAAATTGGAGAGAATTAAATTATTAAAACATTTAAATACTAAAAACTTACATAATTATGTTATGAAAATACATAAATACATAATTAAAAATAATTAGGTATTCATATTATGGATTAGGATTGTTCAAAATTAAATTTTGTGACATGTCATGTTACTAAGAAATTGGATCTTTATTTTAATCTGTGCTGGCTACTAATGTTAAAGTCCTACTCAAAATAGTCCTATAAAATTTTACATTTTAAAGTGTTTGTAGTAATTATGGATTTGAGAATGTTAAGAAATGGAATTCGCCTTTAAGACTTCTAGTTTTATCAGTTCAAAACATATCTCCAGCCAGCCATTTTGTGGATTCCTGTAGTAAAGTGGACACATTGGAGTTTTTTGTCTTTACTCTTACACTAGTTTTATGGTGGAGTTGTTAATCAGATGCTTTTCAAAAAGAAAATGCAAGCACTTGGTTGAAGAAGCGGCAAGGGGTGTATGTTTAAATGGAATGATTAATTTGGCCATATAATGAAACAAGCAGTTCAGAAAATCGTACTTTATCGTATGTATGCTTTTTTTTCCCCAATATTAAAATGCTTTCTTTTCTAAACTGCCTTTACATGCTTGCTTCTAATTTTCACTCATTTTTATCTCGTTCCTCTCATCCTAGTTCCAAATTTTTATTTATTAGAAAATATTTTACTACTCACAAACTTTAAGCATAGGATAAAATCAGTTTACTTCCTAGGGCTTGATAATAAGTGTCTTTTAATGACCTTGCCTTTGTAAAATTTTAAAAGACATGCTTATTCTTAAAATTGAAGTAAAGAAAAGATAGCTTTTGTAATAGTTGTCTTTGATTCCAGCCTTCTAGCTTTTTTTTAAAACAATACAACTTTAAATGAATTGTTTTTAGAATCATTTAAAATTACTTTTGGAATAGTTAGAACTGTGGTTATTGTTCCCAACTGGAACATGTTTTTATCTTCTGCCTCCAAATTAACCGGTATTTATTTTGTTGTCTAAATTAATCTGCATAATTTTTCTTTAGGCCTTTCTTTAGCAAAATGGATGAGCCTTTTGGGTTCTTTGTTTTGTAATTTTATGTTGTTTGGGCGCAGAACCAAAGCTTAAAAACTTTGTATCTAGAGCATATGGCGTAATAAACACTTAACAAATATGTGAATGAATGAATGGATTGAATGAATGAACAAACAAAAGTGAGGTGAAGCAAAAGCACTGATGTCATAGGGTGTAGGGTCTTCAGATGTAGAGATTTTTGCAGTTGGCCTAGTAAAATGAACTTGAAGATTGACACTGGTTTGCAGACAACTGGGAAATTCTGATATTTTCAGCAATGTATTAACAACATGCTATAAAAATACAGTTGTAAACTTCATAGATCAGAAGTTTCACAGTACTTTTTTTGATAGAAATCATACATGTTTATGGTGGAAATTTTGTGAAATACAGGGAATGAAGAAGAAAATACGACTTGTTTTTAAGTCTACCACCTGGAGAAAGGCAGTGTTAGTAGCCATTTGGGATATTTATGCCTACAGATGTCAACACATAATTAAAATTGAAGTTACATACTTTCAGTTTTGATTCCTTTGTTGTTGAGAATCCAATTAAATTTTGTTTTCTCTTTAATTTTTAAACTTTACAGGCCCCTTCACAGATGTAGTCACTACAAATCTTAAATTGCGAAATCCATCGGATAGAAAAGTGTGTTTCAAAGTGAAGACTACAGCACCTCGCCGGTACTGTGTGAGGCCCAACAGTGGAATTATTGACCCAGGGTCAACTGTGACTGTTTCAGGTAGCAAATCATGTTCTGAGTTTATGTACATTTGAATTTTGACGTTTTATGATTCTGTTTTTGTTTATTAAGGTTTCATCTGGAGGGAGGGAGATAATTCTTATATTATTCTGGCTTTGCCTTTAAAGATGTCTTGTTATTGTACTATATGCAAGCTGTTTCAGAAAATTTCTCACTCTCTTCTGTGTAGGAAGTGTGGTCAGTTTATAAGAAATTATTGTCAATTACAAACTTTATATCTAGTCTTTATTTCTACAGCTAACCACTACCTTCTCTGCCTTTGTTATTTTATCTTTGAAAAATTATACCATTTTTCTGATGGGTCGTTCTCCTTCAGATCATGATCATATTATACATTGCATGCAGCTGTAGAAGTGTCGTAATTCTTCTGCTTAAGAAGGTATAATGCCACTTTTTTGCCTACTGTGTCAAATCAGATGAGTCTTTATGTCTTTCATTGTAAATGTCAACAGTGTCCTGCATGTGAAAACTTTTATTTTACTACTCTCTTATGTGTTTATTTGTCAAAGAAGTATGCTTGCCATATATGGATTGCTTACTCCTGCTATGGAGTCGATACTGGTACCATAGCTAATGCCCCTATAAACTGTTTTTTTCTTTCTCAGTCCCTCTGACTTCACTAATATAGCTGAGAAATAGGAACTAAATATGAGAACTTATATGGTTCCATGTATTTTACTTAGGGGAGAACCTCTCAGGCTGCATTTACTCTTCCTTTACAGCAGTACTTCTCAACTCCCACTATGTGCTGTAATAACGCAGGGAGCGGGAACACACATGGGTTCATCTCTCTCAGATCAGAATCTCTGGGAGCATGGCTTAGAAACGTGTACGTTTACGCTGGGCGTGGTGGCTCACGCCTGTAATCCCAGCATTTTGGGAGGCCGAGGCGGGTGGATCACGAGGTCAGGAGTTCAAGACCAGCCTGATCAAGATGGTAAAACCCTGTCTGTACTAAAAATACAAAAAATTAGCCGGGTGTGGTGTTGGGCGCCTGTAGTCCCAGCTACTTGGGAGGCTGAGGCAGAGAATTGCTTGAACCCAGGAGGCAGAGGTTGCAGTGAGCCGAGACCACACCACTGCACTTCAGTCTGGGCGACAGAGTAAAACTCCATCTCAAAAAAAAGTGCACATTTAAAAAAAAAAAAAAAGGCCTGGGTGATCTTGATAAGTAATCCTAAGATACAGTAATTCCATATCAGTTTTCAAGTCCACAGCAGAATTGGGTAGAGAGGGAGAGAACCCAGGGTAGGCTCATTGAAAGTATTTAGAGGTGGAACCTGAGTGCAAAGGCCATGAAGGACAGACCATAGAGTTTTTGGTGACGCTAAATCTTCTCTTGGCAGGTATAGCCAAAAACCTCAAGAGCGAGGAAAAAGATGTTTTAGTGAATCTTGTGTTCAGGAGGCCTGGGAGGAGTGCTTTTCATGTTTCTTTGCTAAGTCTAATTCATCAGTTCTTGGGATGAAGAGATGGGAAATAAAGATGAAGGAATGCATGCTCTCTGGATGTTGCTGCTTTCGACTACATCTTTAAGCCTTTAGCACAATTGGAAGAAGAGATAATTCTTTCTTGTTTTCTTTTTTCTTTTTTTTGGAGACAATGTCTTGCTCTGTTGCCCAGGCAGGAGTGCAGTGATGTAATCTCAGCTGACTGCAACTTCTGCCTCCTGGGTTCAAGTGATTCTCATGCCTCTGCCACTTGAGTAGCTAGGATTACAGGCGTGCGCCAACATGCCTGGCTCATTTTTATATTTTTAGTAGAGACAGAGTTTCACCATGTTGGCCAGGCTGGTCTCGAACTCCTGACCTCAAGTGATCCGTCCACGTTAGCCTCCCCAAATGCTGGGATTACAGGCGTGAGCCACTGCACCTGGCCAGAAGATATAATTATTTCAATCCACATGGCTAAAAATAGTTTATTGGTACAAACAGTTATATCCCTAGGAATCCAAACAGCTATGCAGAATGATTTTTTCTTTGAGGGGCCTAGATTGCTGGTTTCTGTGTATTAATATTTCTTGAGAAAATAACGTATGAAAGCATTTTCTTCCACAGAAACCTGCCTTACTAAAACCTGCAGACAAACTGGTTACTGATTACACAAACATGCCCTTGGATTGCTCTACTTCAATGAGAATTTGACTTTTCCAATTTTTAGTGTAGTTTGTTTCCATTTACAGTCACTCAAAGGTATGCTGCTTCCAGCAACCTTCTCTGGTTAATTCTCTGTACTATATGCTCATTTCTCTTTTTCCCCGTGTCCCTTTGACACTTTTTTTTGAATTTGTTCCAATTTGTGCACATTTTTATATATGTTTTCAAGATCGTCTTTGTCTGGTTATGTGGTCTGCAACCTAAGTTAGAGTGTAACTGCCATAAACTTAACCATGTTGTAAGTTTTCTTTTTATTCACAGATTTTTGGTTATAGTGATTAGCTTATAATGATTACTCAGTGAAAGTTGCTAATGGAATTTTATTTAGCTTAAGCTGTATTCTGAGGCATTTTATCCGGTACATTTCCTGCTGCTGTGTATTTGGCCCCTTGAAAAAGTTGTGTTAACCTTGATAGCAGTTAGTGGACTTCTCAGACACACCTTGTGAATAAGACTTTATTACATAATTGTTATTTTCTACATTTATTTACTTGTGTTTATCTTTTCGAAAGTGTGGAGATATATCTTAGAAATAATCCAAAGTTAGGGAAATAATTTCTATAATACCATGTACATACTTTGTGTAACTGTTGATTCATTTTTTATATAGTCTCATATTGGACTCATGTTACATATATTTAGCATGACTTACAACCACGTGGAACCTTAGAAAACTTAAAAGTTGGGAAATTATAAATGCTTAAAAATTTTGAATGTTATTGAGACTGTAGAATATATTTTAGAAATCAAGAGGCTATATGGTTTCCTTGTGTACTTTTGTTTTCTTAGAAGATTGAAATACATAAACTGAAATAGATGTTTATTTAAAATACATTTTTGAAAAATTAATTATATTAATATATGGGCTGGGCACTGCGTCTAACGCATTTAATCCTAGCACTTTGGGAGGCTGAGGAAGGCGGATCTCTTGAGCCCAGGAATTTGATACCAGCCTGGGCAAAATGGCGAAAACCCTTTCTCTACAAAAAATACAAAAATTAGCTGGGCATGGTGGCATGTGCCTGTAGTCTTAGCTGTCTTGGAGCCTGAAGTGGGAGGATTGCCTGAGCCTAGGGAGGTTGAGGCTACAGTGAGCAGAGATGGCGCCATTGCACTGCAGCCTTACGACAGAGTAAGACTCAGTTTTAAAAAGCAAAAAATAGATGGTAGTGAGGTTTTAAGTTACTATTTCTCCTTTAAATATCCCAGCTATATAATTTTAAATCAGAAAACACTAAAATGAAGCCTAAATTCATAACTAGTTTTAATAACTTAGTAGATTTTATCTGAACTTATAGGCATTATAGTTAACACTGGCAAAGTTTTGAAAATTTTCACAAGCTGAGTTTAGAGCAGAATCATAGATTCATATTTAATTTTTAATTGCAATTGTTTATTTTGTTGGTTGTGGAAAACTTAGTAAATTAGAAAGGCAGACAATTTGAAAATACTTGGGATCCATTAAGTTGATTTGGATTCTTAAACATTCTGGTGTTTGGTTTCTTGAACCCTTCTTGGTTTTCTTTAAATTTGCATATTTGTGAAGTAATAGGAATAATACTATGGCCAGATACTGTTTAAGGCAAATCCCAGATTTGGTATAATTTAATCTGTAACTGTTTCAATGTATGTCTTTCAAACATGCAGGAGACGATATAATATATCCTTTTTTTCTTATTTAGTAATGCTGCAGCCCTTTGACTATGATCCGAATGAAAAGAGTAAACACAAGTTTATGGTACAGACAATTTTTGCTCCACCAAACACTTCAGATATGGAAGCTGTGGTAAGTACAGAAGAAGAATTTATTTTGGGGAGTGGAGTTTAAACTGTGGGTTTTGTTCAGCAGTCAGTAGAAAAACTTAATTTCTAAAAACTAAAAGTTAAATTTAGATTTTTAAAAAACTGCCAATGTCTTCATTGTAGATAATCCTAACTTACAGAATGAAAGAATTTTTAAATAGTATTTTTTTTTTAGAAACAATTTAGAAATGCTGCTACTGGCCTAGTGCAGTGGCTCACACCTGTAATCCCAGCCCTTTGGGAGGCCAAGATGGGAGTATCTCAAGCCCAGGAGTTCGAGACCAGCCCAGGCGACATGGCAAGACCCTGTCTCTACAAAAAAAAAAAAAAAAAAAAACCCAACAAGTAAAAAAAACCAACAGATGCCTGTAGTCCCAGCTACCCAGGAGGCTTGCTTGAACCCAGGAGTGGCCACTGCACTCCAGTCTGGGAGACAGAATGAGACCGACTGGAAAAAGAGAAAAAAGAAAGAAATGCTGCTCTTAAGAAGAAAGTCCTGTGGTTGCTAGTGATATCGTCGTGATTTTAATGGATGGTGATAGTAACTCTAGGATTATATATTCTGTGACATTAGCCAGTAACAATGGCAGGGTGATCAGTGAAGAGTGCACCAGTGTATTTCAGCCAAGCCAGGCAGCTACACTCATCTTTTAGCTGTCCCATGAGGTCAAACTTACTTACCATGATCATACCTCCTATGTCTCATTTTTGGTTGTGTTTATTTTTTAGTGGAAAGAGGCAAAACCTGATGAATTAATGGATTCCAAATTGAGATGTGTATTTGAAATGCCTAATGAAAATGACAAATTGGTAAGTAGGAAAATGTAAAAAAAAATTGGAAGCTGTTGAGCGCTCAGTTCCTTTGATTAATTTTGCTTCTATTTTTGACCTTTGAGGTATGTGTGTTATGGCTCTTTCACGTCATAAGACTCAGTAGTTAAGTTTTAAAAAACTTGGTATACTGTTTTTTTTTTTTTTAAAAATAACATTTTGTTTGTCCAAGAAGAAAGAAAGACTCACTTTTATGTCTATACTACATCCTGGAGAAGAATCCTTTAAGTATAGCAGATTTTTGTGGCGTAAACCACTACAGGTTCTTTTTTAGAATGAGACATGTATACATAATTTAAAAATACATATAAATTGCTTTTTGGCCATTATGTACCAGCAGTTTGGGGATAAAAAATTCACTTATATGGACAGTTTATTCCAGGTTTAGCTATTCCCAGGTATTTTTCTCACTTTTGTTTTTAGTCAAATCCATCTGATTGCATTCTTTAGTAAATAATTGTTATGCTGCTTACTCATTAGTGTAGGTCAAATACAATTTGGGGGACTGGGGGATATATGTGTTTATTTAAAAACGAACAAATAGTAGTCTGTGAATGTACAGAGTGGATTATAGTCACTTACCTTGTCCTTTTCCCTGTCTGGATTGTAAATTTGAATCTTTCCCTATGGTAAGAGAGACTTGAAAGATAAGTTTTTCTGTGTGTGTATGTGACTTAATACATACAATAATATGGATAAACAGAATTGTTTGGCACGATTTGGTTACAATCTGACATGACTACTGCCTTAATCTGTTGGCCATTTGCTCTATTGAAAAGTAAACATGCAGATTAAATACGTGGGCTCAGTTACTGTGTTTCTCTTTCAGGATGAGCAGAAATGAAAAGGTCTCTGGTAATTAGGTGTTGACCAAATTAGTTTTTGAATTTTTAAAATACCTCTTTTAAGTGATTTTTGAGGTATTTGCCAAAAGCAAAAAAATGTGAACACGTATATTCTCTGTAAAGTGAGTGTAAGATGGCCTGTGTATGCTTCCCATTTAGAGGTTTTCTTTTTTGCTTAGGCTGAGGGAAGCTAATAGCTTGCACAGCTCTTACTGTCGAAATCAAGAAAACAAAACAGCGTATTGTCTGGATTGACTTTTTTAAAAAAAACATTTGGGTATTTTTTCACTTAGAGTTTTATGTCATTTTTTACAGTAATTCAGTCAGCATAAATCTGTCTTCTATCTGGGCTTCTGCTATGCTCTGGATAGCACACACTTTGAGATGTGTGAAAAGGATTGAGACCGCAGGTATTTGATACTGCTGATTAAGAGTAGCTCTCACTGGTTTGGAAACCAAACCAGAAGTTGATGGTAATGATACGGTAATGACAGTTGAACCCAGCCATTTACCCATCTTGGGTGAAAAGAGCAGTTATGCCTACCTATTGGTCTAGCCCATAGTTATCCAAGAAAGTAGTTTTGGGTCTCTTTTAGCGCTTGAGCAAATACTGAATGGAGTTCCCAGAATCGCCTGTGGTGGAACTCGAGCAGCAGTAGTTTGAACCTGGAACCTTTTCAGAGCAGGTATTAGTAGTAACCTAAAAGCTGTTAAGTAACTTCAAAGTACTCTAGAGAATATCTTGAGTCTGAGCCTTGATTAGCTAAGTGCTAATGTATTTTCACTAATTGGATTATCTGGACTTGTATATTAAATTGTAGGAAATATCTGCTAAAGATAATTTTTAAGAAGATTTATTTTGAAAAACTTGAAGCACCTAGAAGAGTAGGTAGGAGGAGTACAATGAACCTCTGAACTTATGAGCAGCTTTAACAATGACTAGTTTATGGTTAAGCTTATTATATATAAATCCTATTACTTCTCATCTTAGGTATTGTTTAAGGCAAATCCCAGACATGGTGTACTTTAATCTGTAACTGTTTGAATGTATATCTTTCAAAGTACTTTAAAAAAAGAGATAAAAGTGTTTTAATGACAATACTGTTACTATGCCTTTAAAAATTTAGCATATCCTTAATATCAAGCTATCCAGGCAGCATTAAAACTTGTCACAGATGTCATTAAAAAATTTTTTTTTCTGCAGTTTGTTTGAATTAGATGAAAATAAAGTCCAAATAGTTCCTCTTTTTTTTTTGTTTTTCTTTGAGATGGAGTCTTGCTCTGTTGTTCAGGCTGGAGTGCAGTAGCACGATCCTGGCTCACTGCAACCTGTGCCTCACGGATTCAAGCAGTTCTCCTGCCTTAGCCTCTAGTAGCTGAGATTATAGGTGCACGCCACCACGCCTGGCTAATTTTTGTATTTTTTGTAGAGACAGGCTTTTGCCAGACTGGTCTCAAAATCCTGACCTCACGTGATCCACCTGCCTTGGCCTCCCAAAGTATGCTGGGATTACAGGTGTGAGCCACCACGCCTGGCCGAGTCCAGATACTTCTGTTGGATGATATGTTTCTTAAATCTCTTAGTTTGTTGTTTCCTCTCTCTCTTTTTTTTTTTTTTTTCAAATTATTGAATGTTTTTATTATTAAACTATGTTTGCCTATAGACGTTCCCACAGACTTGATTTTGCTGATTCCATCCTTGTGGTGCCATTTAGCCTTTTCCCCCTGTCCCTGGTATTTCCTATGATTGAAAGTTTGAAATGAGTGGTTCTCATCCAGGGGAAATCGATTTGCTCCTCTAGGGACCGTGTTTGGAAACATTTTTGGTTTTCATGACTGAGAGGTAGGTAAGGGTGCTACAGGTAACCTGTTTAGTGGGCAGAGGCCAGAGATGCCTTTCAACTTCCTGTGATGCACAGAACAGCCCCCACAACAAAGAATAATCTGGCTCAAAATGTCAGTAAAGTTGAGATTGAGACAGTATGGCCTAGGTCTGTTAATTCATTTAAGATTGATGGTGATACTCTGTCATTCCTACTTCATAACACTAGTTACAATACTTGTGTAAAGAGAAACTTGTGCTTATGTAATATTTGGTTATTAAGTGGTAGAGTTTAAAAAGGCAGAACAAATGCCAAAGTTTATCTTTAAAGGTTTTGAAAAATGAGTTGGTTTGTAAGCATCCCACCTTGTGATGTACAGTTGATCTTCCACCTTCCATCCTTTCTTTCTTCCCTCCCTGCTACTATATTGATAAGACTCATGAATTTAAACATATTTGAGTTTTAACTAAAACTTGGCAGTTAATTATTATTATTGATGCCCAAGTTGCCTGGTGAGGATACTTTTCACATTGGTTCTTGAGTTTTTTTTGATCCTCATAGTCTTTGGTAATTTTCTTGTCTAATGTGGCAAGATTTTTCCAGGTTCAGACCTGGAAAGAAGCTCAGGACCATTTCAGTGGGAGATGGTATTTCAGGACTACAGTCGGCCGGGGCCCTGTGACAAAATTGATTTTTAATTTTATCAAACTCTCTATTTATTTTTTTGACCAAGATAAGAGTGGAGGCCCATTTTTCATTTGAAGGTGCTTCTTCAAATGATAAAATTTTAATGATAAAACAGCATATAGGATGATGTGGATCCTTTTATTTTGTGGGGTAATGATTGCATTTTATGGTTGGATTTTGTTGGGTAATTCAAAATGTGCAAAATCCAATACTGATCCTGAGAAGAATGAACCGGCTGAAGTGGTGTTTCAGTATAGCAATAGATAAATATAACTTATGACTTTCATGGCTCACTGGCCTTGCCATTATGATTTTTGATGGATGTTTTTGAATGTTTATAATTTACATTTCAAGTTTTACACATAAAATGAGACTTAAAGATTATAATATATCACCATTTCAAATTTATGTAATTCGAACTTGCAAAAATTGTGTCTATACTATCTAGGCTGGAAGTGACCTTAATTGATTAATGTGTATGTTAAAGAGAGACTAAAACACGACTGTGTTTTTATAAGGCAGTATTTCCCAGTGTATTAGGTTGGAAGCGTTCTGTAGTCAAGTGAGCTTGGAAAATTACTGTAAATGTCTCCAAGAGGAATCACATGTGTATCTGCCTATTAAAGGCTCTGAGAAAACTTAATGGTAAAGAAATATATTTAACCCAGTATTTTTTTTTTTTTAAATTTAAAATAACCTAATTAGGAAATACCGATGTTCTGAAAAAATATACTTTGGGAAATACTGTTCCTGCCTAAACTCACTCTTGTAATATTAACTAACCTGCAGATTGTACAAGAAATGTTACATACTGAGAAATGTGTTTAAACTCAGTGCAACCTGGCACAGACCGAGTTCCATCTGGGTTGTTAATTGATTGTGTGACTTTCAAGTTATCAATTTAATGTTGCATCTCATCTTTTATAGAAAATACGAAATCTTAAGGTACCAAATCTGAAGTCTTATGATAGCACAAAATATATAAGAAGTTTTTGTTTCTAACAATTAAGGATAAAACCTTTTATATTTGTCTAAAGATAAATAACAAAACACCTCTTTCTTAATATTTTATTCATGTGGTAATAAGACCCTATTGATGATTGTATCCTGCTGTTTCTAGGTCAATATTCTTTATAGGTGAAGTTGATAAAACTGGTTAAAAAAATATTTTTGACATGTTGGTTTCTTTCTAGTATCTGTAGATAAAATTAGTAGTTAATATTTGTTTTCTTTGTTTAGCATGAAATTTGGCTCTTTGGAAATTAGGACATTATTGGATAGTGTGATACACAGTTTGTTAATTTACTTCAGATGAATTGATAAAATGCTATACGATGCTGAATCCTGACTTACACAATTGCTGAAATATGACACTCCCTTATTCAAAGAAAATACATTTCTAAATGTGCAAGATGAACAAAAATGTTTTGAAAACTTGGTGATGTATTTTTTAAAAGTATAGAGTGGAAAATATACTTTTTATCTTACAGTTATGATTGTGATACAGAGAATTCTTTGAGATCTTTTGATCTTTTATTTTAGTTTATCAGTATGTTGTAAAAAGTGTGTTAACTTAAGCAAAAATCAGTTTAATTTTTAACTGCGTTGCTGGTAACAGCTTAGGATTTAACATAGAACTCTGGATGGCATTTGTAATTTTTGTTCAGCTTTATTTAGTGTTTAGAGCAGTGGAAAAGTTCATAGGGGTTCTTTATACCTTTATTTTTTGTTTCAATATATGCATACATTATTAAATGATCACCACAATCAAGCTGATTAACATATCAGTCACCTCAGATAAGCACCGTTTTTATGGGTCACATTTACTTTAAAGAGTCGATCAAAATTTCATTTTTGGTAGTCAACTTAGAAAAATTTGGTTAGTGTTGAAAACAGATTCTGCAATAGCTGTCACAATTGTTGATGCACTCTCAGATATTGTAGAGGTAACAAGTCTTGAACTTTATGATATTTTTTTAGTGTGTCTTAACCCCACTTCCTCACTTCCCCAGCCCCTCTTCCTGTATCCTTGTGCAGAAAGAAGTACACTGGTATTTAAGTACTGTACTAGTCTTTTCTCATATTGCTGTAAAGAAATACCTGAGACTGGGTAATTTATAAAGAAAAGAGGTTTAATTGGCTAACAGTTCTGCAGGCGTACAGGCAGCATGACGGCTTCTGTATCTGAGGAGGCCTCAGGAAACCTCCAGTCATGGTGGAGAGCACAGGGGGAGCAGATGCCTCACATGGCAGGAACAGGAGCAAGAGAGAGCGAAGGGGTGGTGCTACACTCTTTAACAACCAGATCTCATGAGAACTCTATCATGAGAACAGTACCACGAGGATGGTGCTAAACCATTCATGAAGGACCCACCCCCATGATCCAGTCACTTCCCACCAGGCCCCACCTCCAATACTGGAGATTACAATTTGACATGAGATTTGCCGGCGACACAGATCCAAACCGTATCAAGTGTGTTGTATACATATACCCCACTTGTTTGAGGATTTTGATCTTTTTACGGATGCTATTCCTTCTTGGGTGTTTACATGTTTGGAATGCAGTGAAAAAGTATGATGTTATTTTGTTGATTTCCTTAGACTTTTTAGGACCTTGATACTGAATATATAAGTAAGGAAAGATTGAAGTTTTGTGTTCATTTTATAGGGTAAAAAAATGGAGCCAACTTTAGAAGCACAGTGACTGAGTTCATATTTTTATTTTTATAGTTTAAATCATTTATTTGTGACAAAACAATTCTCATTTATTTGAACCATCACTAAAGTGTGGGCTACTTTCTGGGAAATAGCTCTCTGATTTGGATCATAGATAAGGTGCCCCAGAAAACTTAGGAACCCTTTTATTTTAGAACAAAAGGACTCTTAGTATTTTTTCCTGGATAATAAACATAAGCAAATACCATCCTTAAGCACACTGAGCTGTGTCGTTACCCCAGTCCTCGGGATCAGCAGGTGTGTGCCAGTACATTTCATTTTGTTAATGGCCTCTAGTGTCTTCAGTTGAGTTATTGTCAGTGCTAGTACTGAAAGCCATTCAGCATGTTCCGTGTATTGTTGACAGCTGGAGGCACATGATACGAAAGTGCTGACTATTGTACAAAATAGGGTTCTTTGAATTATTAGCTCTGTTCGGATTGTCAGCTCTGTATTATGAAATACGTAATGTCCAATTAGTGGTAGTGGTTATTTTTTAAGGATCAGATGTGGTTTTATTATTTTTGAAGTTTTATGACCTATTCAGTTCTTTGTGTTCACTTCTAAAAAATTTTCGAGGCCTTAACACTGACATTTTCTGAATTTCTTAAATGTTTTGCATTTCATTTATGTCCTCCATCTGACATTTGAAGGTGACATATTTTCTAGAAAAAAATACTGGTTTGTTTTAATGAAGACTGAGGGGCTGTAAAGAACAGGGATGTCAGGGGTCTTATTATAAAGACATTTTATGGTTGAGTATACATTATTTTCTGTTGAGACAGAGAACAAGTGGGATATCAGTAAGTATAATTAAGGAATCCCTTTCCTACTTATTTGTATAATACAGTATTGCTTTTATCTATTAAAGGAATTTGAAAAGAAAGGAAGAGAACTGTGGAGTTAATGGTTATGTGAGTCTTTAAGTGTGTTTATTGGCCTGGGATGTGTGTGAGGGCGTGAGTGTATTAGGGGATAGGCTTTAAGTACAAGAGAGGTTTATAAAATTGTTCAGATTGAGTGTTATCAAAGGTAAGAAGACATGAAGGTGCTTGTTTTTCAGATTATTGACAATTATTAATTAGTAAAAAACATTGAAAGCCACAAAGAATTAGATGGTATTCATTTTAAAACAGTGTAAGGCTGGTATAAATTTTAATGAAGTATGTACATTTAATAGGTGCACATAATGCCATTAGATTATAACTAATTTTGTTTGGGAAATATGAAAAGCGAGTTCAGAAACTACTTTTGCTTTAACATAGCTATTACTTATTAGTATCATTTCTTATGCATTAATGCATTTTTATGAAGTGTTAATGTTTTAGAGCCTAATGGTTTCTGTGTCAGTCATTCCCAATATCATGCAGAAGAAATCAGAGTTCGGTGAGAATCTGAGAATATGTTTCCCATGCCATCTCAGGGTATAACTCCACCAGGGAATGCTCCGACTGTCACTTCAATGAGCAGCATCAACAACACAGTTGCAACACCCGCCAGTTATCTCACGAAGGATGACCCCAGGGGACTCAGTGTGTTGAAACAGGAGAAACAGAAGGTTTGTTATAGGGAGCTAACAGACTTAGGAGTCTACTAGTGTTAATGATTAAGTTAATGTAGATATCTAGCAGAAAGTGGTATTGTACGTGTGTTATATGAAGTAGATAGAATTGAACTATGCCTAAAATTACAGTAAAACCACAAAGCACTTAAAAATCTTGCACACAAACTACTCTGTTCCAAAAAACTTCTGAACTTACTAAAATCTCAGTAGTGAGCAGGACAGTATAAGTGTGAACTTTACGAAGTTAGCGTAGTTTTTTTCTTTGAGATTTGGGGGGCATACTTTTTTATTTGTTTTTTGAGATGGGGTCTCACTCTGTCACCCAGGCTGAATTCTCCCACCTTAGCCTCCTCAGTAGCTGAGACTACAGGCATGTGCCACCATGCCTGGCTAATAATTTTTCTGTGTTTTTGGTGGAGATGGAGTTTCACCATGTTGGCTAGGCTGGTCTCAAACTCCTGACCTCAGGTGATCCGCCTGCCTTGGCCTCCCAAAGTCCTGGGATTATAGGTGTGAGCCACCACACGTGGTCAACCCCACAGTTTTAGCAGATTGTTTATACTTTGATTTGGTTTTGCATATGATATGCATTACTAAGGCTTTAAAAAATTACTGTTTAAATGTTTAGTACTTTTTTGTTTTTGTGATTGGGAATTATTTACTTCTGGGAATCATGATCCTAGAGAAACAGTAAATTGTTGTTTAGGGTGGGAAAAAAATTTCAGGTAACCTTGTTACTTAAATCCCGTCTCTAATTCATAGGTTAAACCCTTAATTCTGCCTCTCTCGGTTTATGACAGTACTCTTGACTTTAGCCTCTTAACTCCTTTTATGTGGGTCTTTATCCGTCACTCATGTTAGTTTTAAGAATGTAGCCCCACGTTTATGTCCTTTATCTCCTTTGTTCTTCCCAAGGCTTCTTTGCAATCTTGTTCTTGTATTTCCAATTCCTAGTTCCCTCTTTTTCTAATTAAACCCCAGTAGAAATACTTGGAATATTAGAACTGAAATCTGATGGTCGTTAGAAAAGAAGAAAGAAGTGCAGTCATGCATCTCTTAAGGATGGGAATATGTATTGAGAAATGCGTTGTTAGGCGATTTGTTGTGTGAACATCATAGAGTGTGCTTAAAAAAACCTATATATGGTATTGCCTGTTGTTCCTAGACTGAAGACTTGTATAGCCTGTGGCTGTACTACAGTGGTAAGTATTTGTGTATCCAAACAATCTATACCAAGCTCTTTCAACCTGCAGCCTGCTACCCACACGTGGCCCAGGATGGCTTTGAATCCGGCCCATCGCAAATTCATAAATTTTCTTAAAACACTATGAGATTTTTTTTTGGTGATTTTTTTTTTTTTTTTAAATAGCTCATTAGCTATTGTTAGTGTTAGTGTATTTTATGTGTGGCCCAAGACAATTTTTCTTCCAGTGAGGCCCAGGGAAACCGGAAGATTGGACACCTGTGACTATACACAGAAAAGGCGCAGCAAAAATATGGCATAAGAGATTAAAAAAAAAATGCATACGTGTATACCAGTATACCTGTATACTTTGTGAATGAATTTTGCAGAACTGGGTCTGCAGTTTCGGGTGGGTCAGTGAATGAGTGGTGAGTGAATGGGAAGGCCTAGGACATTACTATATACACTGTAGACTTTATAAACACTGTACACTTAGGCTACATTTATTAAAATTTTTTTCTTTAATAGTCTTAGCTTTCTGTAACTATTTTCATAAACTCTAAAATTAAAAATTTTGACATAACCTGAAGCACAAGCACAGTGTATAGATACATAAAAATATCTTTTTTATATCCTTATTCTATAGGCTTTTTAAAATTTTTTAAATAAGATTTTTTTAAAAACTTTTTTTGTGAAGACTAAGACATGGCACACACATCAGCCTAGGCCTACACAGGGGCGGAATCATCAGTATCACTGCCTTCCATCTCCACAGCCTGTCTCACTGGAATGTCTTCAGGGACAGTAACACGCATGGAGCTGTTATCATCTGTGATAACAGTGCCTTCTGGAATACCTCCTGAAGGACCTGCCGGAGTCTGACTTAGAGTTAACTTTTTGTTTTCATAAGTAGAAGGAGTACATTCTAAAATAAATGATAAAAAGCATAGCACAGTAAATACATAAACCTGTAACGTAGTCATTTATTACCAAGTATTCTGTATTGTACATAAATCATATGTGTGATACTTTCATATGACTGGAGTACAGTATATATATTTACACCAGCATCACCACAAACGTGAATAATGTGTTGTAAGACCTCACTAGATAATAGGAATTTTTCAGTGCCATTATAATTGTATGGGAACACTATCATATGTACGGATCATCGTTGACCAAAACATCATTATACAGTGCGTGACCGGACAACTCATAGGTGGAGGATTACTGCAGATAGGCTAAATAGTGGAAAATGGACAAGGTTGGTTTATTGTTTTATTTTAGTTGATACACACCTTGACTTTCCAGCTTACTCTAAATTGCAGTGTTAAATGTAAGGTTACTATGCATCAATTTACCAAGAGTCACAGCATGTTGAATCCCTCTAGTTTGCTTGTTTCGTGGTTCTCAGAAGAACCAGTCTTCTCTTTCTGGACCAGTTTGAAGCAACTCTAAAGAAACAAGCTGTTTTATTGGAGCCAAACCTCACTTAGAGGTCCTGAATGGAAGCATATACTTAAAGTTACACCTGCTTAATTTCTTCCATCAGGCTGTTCAGATTGTCACTCCACGCATGACTCAAACCCCACCCTCCCATCACACTTCCCCCATTTTTAACTCCCAACTAAGATTAATATGCTATATTAACATATACATATGTAGCATATGTATATGTAAATAAAATAGATTTTCTTGCACCTATTATGTATGTTGACTGATTTGTAAGGGGCCTAGCTAGTTGTGTGATATAACTTATTGGGCACACTTTTGAAGTGTGTTTCAGCTTCACTATATTCTTTGCATTCTAGTCTCTCTATGCTCCACAAATTGGTTATCATTTATTCTCCTTTTTGTTATAAAAGTAGTATAACTTTTTTTATTTTTTTCTTGAGACGGAGTCTTGCTCTTTTGCTCAGGCTGGAGTGCAGTGGCGCAATCTCGGCTCATTGCAAGCTCCGCCTCTGGGATTCACGCCATTCTGCTGCCTCAGCCTCCCGAGTAGCTGGAACTACAGGCGCCCATCACTACGCCTGGCTGGTTTTTTGTATTTTTATAGAGGCAGGGTTTCACCATGTTAGCCAGGATGGTCTCGATCTCCTGACCCCGTGATCCGCCCTCCTTGGCCTCCCAAAGTGCTGGGATTACAGGCGTGAGCCACCGCGCCTGACCGAGTATAACATTTTTAAGAGAACATTTTAAGAAAAATTTAATTGTATTTGCTTAGATAAATTCTAACCTAATTCCAAGTCTAATTCTATTAGAATTAGAAACATCTAAATCTAATTCCAATCTAGTTATCTTTTTATGGAATATCTTCTTATGGATGTGTTATTTAAAATTGGAAAGAATGGAAAGCTGCCCATCAAATGCTTAACAAAAGTGAAATGTTTAATTTTGGCAAGGCATAGAATAGAATATTTAATGATATGTCATTTAAAATGATTATTAAAAATGCATATAAATAAGCAAATAGGTATGCCCAATTTTATAAAATGTGTGTGGAAAAATAGTAATATAAATAATAGTTTTGTTGATTTCATGAGATTATGGGAAATGAGTTTTTCCCTTCCCCCCATAATTTAAAATTTTATGCAATGTAAAGAATTTAAAAACAAAAATCTAGTTGTCAAGAGCTTGATGATCTTTGTTTTAGTTTTTTTTGGTGTTGACCCCATGTATGTCTTTTTATCCCCCTTTTGGAGACACAGTCTCACTCTCACCTGGGCTGGAGTGCAGTGGCAGGATCTCGTCTCATTGCAGCCTCCACCTCCTGGACTCAAGCCACCTCAGCCTCATGAGTAGCTGAGATTAGAGTTGCACACTACCATGCCTGGCTAATTTTTAGAATTGTTTTTTGTAGAGACAGGGTCTCCCTCTGTTGCTCAGGCTGTTCTTGAATTCCTGGGCTCAAGCAGGCCACCCATCTCGGCCTCCCAAAGTTTTGGGATTACAGGCATGAGACATGGTACCCTGCTTCATCCTCTTAAGTTTTTCGTCAATTTTCTGGTATGGGTATGATACTTTTTCCCAATTCTTAACCAAAACCTAGAAGTTCTTCTATTGCCATATTGGTGGCCATTGCCACCTCCTTTATAGAGGAAGTCAGTGTGCCAACTTCATTATCAGAAGTTGGATTTGTGTTAGGATAGAATGTGACCACACCGAAAATCATTTTGAAATGAGTTCTAACTACTATTAAGGAAAATAATAGGAAAAAGTATTGACAGGGTAAGATATATCTGAAGCAGTGTTTTAATAGTAGAGGTGGCTATTATTAGATTGGGGTGGAAGAGACTGGGGTGAAGGACAAAAAAGCTGGCAAGAGAAAAACTCAGAGAAAGAATTGAAGTAGGCTTCTTTAAAACCTTTCTTAACTGGGAAGCTTGAGGAAAAATGGAAGAATCGCCGACAGGTCAAATACATACTGTTGTTGATTAGAACCTCATTATAAATTTGCATTTTTAAATAGATTTTACATGGATTTAGGCTTACTAATCAAATCATATCCCCTTCATAAGAAGAACAAGTTTTGCCCTTTGAGCAAACAATCTGTTTATACTTAATATAAATTTGGCAACTGGGATGGTGTGGTAGGTGTGCAGCCTCTGATAAATCTTATAAAATGAGTATTGTGGAATGCCATAAAGTTGATTTTGTAAATGTCTTTGTTAGCAGTTTATAGCTGAATAAAGCAGATTTGATCTAAAATTATTTTAAAGCAAGTAAAAATTTAATTAAAATGAAAAAAACTTGTTACACGAATACTGCTACTCTGTGTGGTGACATAAATGCTGTTAGTGTGAAGGATGTTGGGGTACTTTAGACCGCAGGCTGAAGAATATGTAGATGCAGTCATAGATGTTTCTCTCCAGGCCTTCAACACTAACTTCAAATGGTTCAGTGTTGGTTAGGATTAAGATTTTGGGGCTCATAGTCTTCAGGGCATGCTAATTTTTACTGTGATGTTGAATCACGTGAATTAAAGCAAACAGCATTACTGAAGATGATAATAGAAGTTAACTTTTTTGGCATGTTTTTTCTTAGGTAGTTTCTAATTTTATTGGAATGATTGCAATAATATCCCCCTACGCCCCAGAACCTTATTTGAATTGCAGAACCAGAGCACGGAAAATGACCTTCGTATTTGGATTTTGTTGACGTCAGTCATTCAGCATACTTTGATTGAATAACTACTCTTGACCAAAGTGCTGGTTTTAGGGGTAAATACAAAGAGAGATGGCTCTTGCTCTCCCAGCCTTTGAAGTGTTATAGGAAAGAATTTGAACAATAGTTATTAAGATACATAATAAAGTGCTATGGTAGACGTACATGCCAGCGGTTATGGGAATAGAGGGAGTGGGCTCGTTATTTAGACTAATCTGACTGCTGACATGTACTGATTTAGGCCTTTTAAAGAGTTTTTCATAAACAAAGATGTAGAATTTATGTTTTTGTTTGTTTAAAACCTGTGAGAAGATTTGGTAAAAAAAAAATCTCAATATCTTTGTAATACAGAATGACATGGAACCTAGCAAAACTGTTCCACTGAATGCATCTAAACAAGATGGACCTATGCCAAAACCACACAGTGTTTCACTTAATGATACCGAAACAAGGAAACTAATGGAAGAGTGTAAAAGACTTCAGGGAGAAATGATGAAGCTATCAGAAGAAAATCGACACCTGAGAGTAAGTTCTGTTGGTTGAAAATAAGTTGATTTAAATGAAGGTATAGGACATGTGAGTGTTATTAGGCCATTTTAGCAATTAGTTTTTAAATTTATCCTTGGTCAGTTCTTTCTTGTTTTCCCCAATTTGATTATGTCCTGACCTTTGCTCCCCACCCTACTCCTCTCTTAAAAATCTTCCTGTGGTTTCTCATTGCCACAAGTTCCTTACCTTAGCATACATTCTAATTATTTGTGATCTGGCCTGCAGCATTGCCAGCTTCAGCTCTTGTTTCTCCTGTCCTTCCCATTTTGTGTCCCAGTCATACTGAACTAGGATTGTGTTGTCCCACATCATAGCCATTAGTCACCTAGGACTGTTGAGCACTTGAAATGGGATTTGTTCAAATTGAGCTATGCTGTTGAGTGTAAAATACTGATGTTGAAGAGTTAGTACAGAAAAAGGTAAAATTTTCTTTTTTTAATGGTTACATACTGAAATAGTAGTTTGGGTATATTGGGTTGAATTGAATATATTATTAAAATGAATTTTACACATTTCTTTTTACTTTTTAAATGTACTATTGGAAAATTTAACGTTACATAGGGGGTCACATTTGAAGCTCACATATTGGCGTGGGGCAGTGTTGGGCTGGAGTATGCTGGAGAAGCATCTGTTTATCACCCCTCTTTTGCTTTAGTGTAAGCTCTTCACTGTGACTGGAAAGGCTCAGAACCCTGTCCCTCCCGACACAGCACATACACATATTAATGTCTTGCTACTATATTCTTGTCGTCTTTTCAGTATAGCGTTTGCTGGGACCCTCTCCAAAAGAAAAAAAAATCGATTTGTCCTGTCTGCTTTGTGCCACCACTATGCCGATTGCATTCTACTGCTCTTACTTGTTAGAGGCCTTTCTCCCTCTAGTGGGCAGTAATTTCCTTGGGGGCAGGGGCAGTGTTTCATTTCTCTCTGCATTCACCGTGCATGCGTGTAGCAGTCATATATTTGATTGAATAAATGGATGGTGAAGGAGGACTGATTTGAATATGTGTGAAATTTATGAATAATACTTGTCTTCGACAAGTAATTGTTTCAAGACCTGAATTCCTATATATTGCTCTTTAGGCTTTGTCTGAAGCTCTTTGCAGCAACGTAGATGATACAAAAGTATAGGTAACTAAAATAAGCTAAATGATGGGAGTTATTTGATTATTCCTTTACAGTGTATATAGGAACTGCACTCTGAACACTGTATCTTAAGTCGATCTGTGAACTCCTTTGCTGAAATGCTTTTTAAAGTGAATTTTTGTGTCTCTTCATGTTTGATACTTCATAGTACCCCCTTGAGGGGTACCCCTCTGCTTCCAGGCGCTTGTCTGGATAGCGGGAAGAATATCTTTATTTCACACCTACACACCATGGATCTTTTAAAGGATTTTGTTGGTTACTTTTACTTGATCTGCCATGACTTCCATAGTTCTGTTCTTTGATAAAGATGTGCTTCTTAGGGTGCTCAGTAGATTTCTTTCAAAAGCCACTGTTTACCTCTGGCATGGAGGGGAGAGTGTAAACAGTAGGAGTGACAGGTGGAGCAGGACTGGAAAATAGGAAGAATGAACCAGGGAAGTGAGAGAGACTTTATTCCTGGTTTCTGCTCTTTGTATGCTAATGTTTGGTATGAGATTTTATTGAGAGATGATTCTGCTGTTGGAAAAGTAAAACAAAAAAGCTGTGCTGGGCACGGTGGCTCACACCTGTAATCCCAGCACTTTGGGAGGCCGAGGCGTGTGGATCACCTTAGGTCAGGAGTTCGAAACCAGCCTGGCCAACGTGGTGAAACCCCTGTCTCTATTAAAAATACAAAAATTATCCGGGTGTGGTGGCGGGTGCCTGTAATCCTAGCTACTTGGGAGGCTGAGGCAGGAGAATCACTTGAACCTGGGAGGCAGAGGTTGCAGTGAGCGAGATCACACTGTTGCACTCCAGCCTGGGCAAGAAGAGCAAATCTCAAAAAAACAAAACAAAATAAAACAAAAACCTTGGAGACCTACTGGCTTACAGAATTTCAGACCCTTTAGCATTTTATACACAGGCCCATCATAATTTTTTGCCATGTTAACTTTCTTGCTCCTGTCTGTTCACTATCCCTTTTAATTCCCCTAGCCCTGTGGTTCTTAATTCACACTGCATGTGAATCACCTAGTGAGCTTTAAAAAGTTACAGTTTAACAGGCCTTCCCCAGACCTAATGAATCAGAATCACAGGAGTATTAAAAGTTCTGTAGATGTTTGTGATGTGTAGCTGAAACTGAGAATTACTACTGTTTTTATATAGAACTAATTAGCATGAGACCAAAAAAACCCAACGCCAGAAAATCCAGTAATGCAAATAAAACTGTGCCATTAGGTGTACTCTTTTAGTTAGTGTTTGTTTATAAGCACAATAAAAGAATCATGGGAGAAAATATTGCCTTGCACTGAAAAAAGTAAAAAACTGTCCTGCCATTCATCAGATTGGATAACAGACACAGATAAAGACAACTGCGTAGTTAACAGGTGTTAGTATTTCTCCCAAGGTTCACAGTGCACACAGTGTCGTAACAACCTCCTGCCTGGAGTGACTTCTGCTTTCTTCTGAGAAACCTTGTCCTCTAAGGACATAGTGCTGTGTGAAGCCACATCAGCAAGGATGAAGCAGCCCACTCTTGACTGGAGGATCTGCCGTTTTGACACAGAGAAGCACCCTCAGTTTCCATTCCAGGTGCAGAGCTTCAGATAAGGGTTTCCTACGTACATTTCTCATCTAAATTTGTAGTTCCTGAAGAAACAGTATTCTTTCTCTGTTTTGCAATCCAGACCTGGTGCTATCCTTTTACACACAGCCCTCTGCTTTGCTTTGAGCATGTGAAAACACTGTTACTTAAATTTCATGCGAAACCGTTTCCTTCCCCCAAAATTCTGTGATAACCGTATCTCTGTTTTCGGCAAGAATACCCTCTTGTGCCTCTGCTGTTTTGGTTCCTTAGTTGCAGTGGGTCAGTAAACTCAACTGGTAGACTACGGGTCTGGCAGTTTTTGACTGATTGGGCTAGGACAGATGTAACTGATTTTAAATACCATGGGCCGCCTTGGAAGTACTCTTCTTTAATTATGTTTTTAGTGGGGTTAAAATGAAAGGTAAATATAGCCATATCTGACTTTTATTTTTTAGGAATACATTTCTCAGCTCCAGTTTTAAAAAATCAGTGTTATTGAGGTATAATTTATATCCCATGGAGACACCCACTGTGAGTGTACAATTCACTGAAATATAGAACTTTATAACTGTCACTATAGTTCAGTTTTAGAATGTCCATCACCCCTGGAAAGTTTCGTTATGTGGTTAGCAGTTAATCCCTGTTTCTGTCCCCAGCCATAGGCAACCACTAATCTACTTTGTGTCCCTATAGATTTTTAGCTCCAGTAGTCTCATTAGTATGCTTGTTTTTAAAAACCTCTTTTGTGTGTGTGTTTTTTTCCTAGGATGAAGGTTTAAGGCTCAGAAAGGTAGCACATTCGGATAAACCTGGATCAACCTCAACTGCATCCTTCAGAGATAATGTCACCAGTCCTCTTCCTTCACTTCTTGTTGTAATTGCAGCCATTTTCATTGGATTCTTTCTAGGGAAATTCATCTTGTAGAGTGAAGCATGCAGAGTGCTATTTCTTTTTTTTTTTTTTTCTCTTGACCAGAAAAAGATTTGTTTACCTACCATTTCATTGGTAGTATGGCCCGCGGTGACCATTTTTTTGTGTGTACAGCGTCATATAGGCTTTGCCTTTAATGATCTCTTACGGTTAGAAAACACAATAAAAACAAACTGTTCGGCTACTGGACAAATTGTATATTACCAGATCATCACTAGCAGATGTCAGTTGCACATTCAGTCCTTTATGAAATTCATAAATAAAGAATTGTTCTTTCTTTGTGGTTTTAATAAGAGTTCAAGAATTGTTCAGAGTCTTGTAAATGTTATTTTAATAATCCCTTTAAATTTTATCTGTTGCTGTTACCTCTTGAAATATGATTTATTTAGATTGCTAATCCCACTCATTCAGGAAATGCCAAGAGGTATTCCTTGGGGAAATGGTGCCTCTTACAGTGTAAATTTTTCCTCCTTTACCTTTGCTAATATCATGGCAGAATTTTTCTTATCCCTTGTGAGGCAGTTGTTGACTGAGTTTTTCATCCTTACAATCCTGTCCCATGGTATTTAACATAAAAAAAGAATAAAACTGTTAACAGATTCTTGCTCGATAGCTTGTTTGTGTCTGTCGTGTTATTAGAGGGGAGTCCACTATTTATGGTCACTTGAAATTATGATGCAAAGGTTTTTCTTGCATTGAAACCCTCTGAGATATCACAGTATTTTTAATTGAAAATCCTAATTCTGTTCAGGAAAGGAGTTGATTAAATTTTAAGGTACTGTTGGTATTTTGGGAGATTATAATCAGTCTGTTTTCAAGATAATGGAAAATAAGGTCCATGAGAATAGAAGTTACGTGATTTCAGTGAGTTGACGTGTACAGCATGGCTGTGCTCCATCTGGTTTTTACCCCATTCTTAAGTTCTGAGAGTATGTTCTCAAGGAAGATTTAACTCTCCTTGGTTTTAAAGTACTTTTTAACCAGCCTAGTAAGTCTTACTACTTTTCATAATATTTCATAATAGTTAAAAGTAGGTGTTTTTTCCTGCCCAATTTGCACTCAAAATAATGTTCATTATGGAAGTTTGGTAATACTGAGCAAGCCTGTGGAATTTTCTTTATGAAAAATGATTTTGTCTTTTGCAAATGTTAACCATGTGAAACACATTTTCAGTGTAAGTATGCGTTACAGGGTCTGGTATTTCCTGCACTTAGGTTTGTCCTGTGTCTTCATTTATTCTTACTAGGATAGAAAATGTTGGAATCAGAAAATAGATCCAGTTTTTAGCTACATACAATCTAGTACAAGTGATTTTTTATTCTTAAACATAGGTGTTATTTTTTTAAAAGATGCGCTCTACCTGAAAAGGAAATTGGATTTTAGAACTGGATGTGGTGAAGTATTTTAGGCCCAGATCTGTGTACACATTTTATAGAAGAGTGAAGTATTCTGAAGTATTTTGGTTGCCTTTTCATTTCAACTGTGTTTTGAATTTGTCAGATGATGCATATATTGTGTTATTGTGTGCTGTGGTATCTTTTATAAAACCTCTTGCTTGTGTGCAAGTTGCTAAAAAGAAACACAAGTAATGCCTATCCATTACTAGCATGCTATGCTGCAGGTCATATTTCCATTGCTATATGCTTTACTGTTTTTATAAAAATCCCCCCCTCCCCTTTTCCGGTAACTGGAAAAGCATGCTAAAAAGAGTCTTATATTTTCACCCCATAAATGGAGAATCAATAATTCCTTGGCTTAAAGCTCTTATGTAATCAGTATTATTGGTGATAAATATCAAGTTTGATATCTCATAGCTATCTTTTTTTTAAAGAAATGAAGTTCTTGAAAATTTAGCCAAATCCCGTTTTATGGGAATGCTCCTTAGAATTCATTTTGTTCAGTCCCTTTGTTCTGTAGTTGAGAAATCTGAGGCCTTACGAAGGTTAAGAGAACTTTCGCCATGTCTCACAGGTAGGTAGAGGCAGAGCTGGAACTAGAAATCTGTTCTGTTGACTCTAGCTCAGTGTCTTTTCTGGTAACTTGAAAATTGTCTTAGTTTGAGAGATGGCTGAAATAACATAAAATGCTATTTATAATAACAAGTATATGTGACATTTCCTATTGTAAGACTACTGCCGGCTTACTGTTGAATAGTTTGGTTATAGTGTTTAGGCTAGATATGCTTCCCACATTGGTAATAAATAAACATTACAAAATACAATGTATTTTTAGGTAGGCATTTTATAAAATGCATTATGCCATGGTTGCTTTTGAGATAGATTGTAGTCTGGGTAGCATCTTTAAAATGTATGTGGGCTTAACTGTTGTTCATATCAGGAGATGCTCTGATTGTATAGGTGAGACTGTTTCTGTTATTTTTATTGCTGTATGAAATGTGATCAGATTATTTTATTACCAACAGTTATAGTTTGAAACTGTATTAATTGACTGATAATATGATAATATAGAGATTAAATTGTCTTCATTCCTTACATGTTTAGAAGTTTTTGCTTTGTCTACCTGCTTACTTGTATATGTAAGCATGAGGGAAAAACACTGTTGATAATACTGAAATTACAGTCAAGTAACTAAGGCCTTAAGTTCATATGTGACACTGAATGCACTAGCTTCCTTCGTTCTATAACTAATGTACCTTAACTTCCCTCATTCTTGTATTTACAAGATACTGAGAAGTTATGTTCTGAGTGTATGGTATGTTCCCTTAAAAAAAAAAAATGACACTTGGAAGAAAAATGTATGAAATTCAGAAATTCCGATCAAAGAAAAGTAATTTTCTCTTCCTTCCTTCCTTCCTTCCTTCCTTCCTTCCTTCCTTCCTTCCTTCCTTCCTTCCT